TACAACTTTTGAATATTTGCATTTTGGTTCCCGAACTTTCGCTTTCTTTCTTTTTGGTCCGTTTCCCTTCATTTCTTCCAAATTACGCCATATCCATCGAATTGCCACCTAAACCAAAATATGAGAATACTAAGTATATTTGGGCATAAAATAGTCATATGAGTAAATTAAATAAAAATGTAAAATGTGTATTTTATATTCCTATCAGGCATCCCGTTTAATTGTTTTAACCATCCACTAAGTGCAATAACCATTCCAATCATTTAATACCCATTATGTTAAAAAAAAACTACCATTTCATTTGAAAAGCTAACTTGCATGTTGTCTCATAAATTTCCCATTTATACACACAATTAATATTCTATTTACCATTTGTTTTTAATCCCATTTTGGTTAACGCCAATAGCCATTTTCATTTTTTATTTGAAAAACAATAACCTCCTACAACCCCTAAACCCACGTTTTCTCTCCCAAACTATTATAACTATATATAAAATTATTTTACCCTTTTCCAATAGAGTTAAAGTACTTTGACTCTAAAAATTTTCTGAAGGAGAGGCTAAGAGTACGCTGCATTTTATTACAAATTGGATGCAAAAAGATATTCAAATTCGAAGCATTTAATGTAGGGTGTTTTCGGTACTTTTGTAGGTGAAGTAAAAATTATTTATTTTCGATTTGGGTTAAACGTGTTATTGTGTTACTCATGAGAAAATGAAAGAGCTATTTGATGGTTCAATAAGAGATGAAGAGATGATTTTTGTTACTTGAAAGGGGTTACCAAAACCTAAGAGTAAGCGGATTGTCTGGTCACCGATTCGCTTTGCAATTGACAATGACACAAATAACCAAAATTTGCATTTCTAGAATTTTTTTTTTTATTATTTACTTAAGCGTTTCCTACTTAATATTACTTGTGGTACTTAGTCCTACTAAATTTACAGGTTAATTCAAGGCATGACAGTTCTTTGGCATAGTGGAAAGTGCTCGACGATTTAAAATGCTCTTCAACTTTCTAGTAAAATTTTCAATTATGTAAATCTCTTTTGAACACTTAGATGACATTTTTTTTAAAAATGTTTAATTTTCTATTTCATCTAGTTTTTATATATATTGCATGTCAACTATAATTTAGAAATGTTGGATTGACTATGCATGAAGTTTAATTACTGCTGAATTAAATTTTCAGATTATGTCCTCTTACTTAAAAACGGTATATCTTGGGCCACGGTGCATGTTTTAGAGTAAAATCAGTAGAGTTTGAAAATTTTATGAGTCTTCTAATAGAGCTCTTTGGAATTACCTTAAAATATAATCTAGAGAAAAAAAATTATGTTTGTTATATTAGATTGCGTCGGGTCAGTTTCGAAAATCTTGTTCAGCGAAATTGAAAAATATTTTCGTACTTCAAACATTATCTTCGAGATCCCAATTTTTTATATGTTGTACGTATATGAGTGTTATAGACTGTGTTAAAATCATAAATTTTAGTTGACGTTTGCTAGGCTAAACATATTTTTCTCTGGGTTTTGTTAAACTGGTATTTACTGAATTTCCTCGAGATGTTTTCCAAAATAAAATTACACTATAATTGTCTAAGTATATATGGACAAATATCTTCCATTATTTTTATATATTTCAAATCCAAAACTTTTATTATTTACAATTTATTTTGGTTAACATTAAAAAGCCCCAACTAAAAAGATAATTCTTGTAACGCTTCGAATTTCAAAAATTCGAGGTGTTATATATACAATATAAACTCTTGCAATGCAATGTACTTGAACTCTCATATAGATCTATTACCCCCATTGAATTATTTGGGCCCACTCGTTAT